ACGCTTGAAGAACAATAAACTTCCTGGAAAAAACTGAGGGAGACGAAGATATCTGACGGTGGATGTTCTTGGGCTCGTTTTGCAGAATTGATGAGCGTCGTGTATACGGAGATGAAGGGGAGGAAATCTGGGAACGATGAAGATTGACTGTGACGAACACGAGTTGATCTTGCTCGTTAAAGATCAAGCAGATTTCTGGAGATCGCTGCTGGGGATCTTGAAGGAAGTGAAGAACAACGGGTGGAATTCTGGGAAATAGTTCTTGAGGATCTTGGTAACTGCAATGAACGCGGTTGAAGAAGCTTGAAATTTCTAGGGAATGTTGATGAAGGTCTATGAGTTTCCGGAAAACTCGTATGAATTTTCCGACGACATATGTATTTTCCGGTGACTTGGGGATGGATGTGGACGGAGGAAGAAGGAGGGAGAAAGAGGATTTCTGGTAAATTCTGAGTTTTTTGCAGTTTCCGGCAAGGACGGTGGCCGGAGACGGTTAGACGGTGGCCGTTGGGGAGGTTCAAGGTGGATGCATGGCCGGCGGCAGGGTTCTGGTGAGGCTCCGGCGAAGGGTTGTGGTGGTGACACGCGTGAGTGGGAGAGACTGGGGGAAGACACGTGGCTGGACGTGTGGCAGAAGAGAGAGAGTGATGGTGGGGTCAGGTGTCAGCGTGTGGGGGTTGCTGAGTGGTGTGTTCGTGGGGGCTCCTCGGGTACACGCGTGGCGTGCCTTATATACTGACAAGTGTCCTCTGCTGGCCAAAAATAATGAAAAAACTGAATTGGACTTGATTGCAGTCTGGGCCTCCAACTGTGTACTCTGGCCCACGAAAAATGATTAAAAAAACTTAAAAAACTGAATTAACAACTAATACTCAATTAAACACTAATCAGACATTAAACCTACTTAACCCTAAAAACAATTAACTAAATGAAAATCCTAATTAAAATCTAAACAGAATATTAAATCCTAATTAATCCTAATTACAATTAACTATCCTAACAAATTCAATTAAATCTAAACAAAAAATTAAATCCTAATTAGCCTAAAAATGATTAAAATCTAATTAAACCTATATTAATAAAACTTCTACTAATTTCTATAAAATTCCTATTAAAATTTAAAAAGCTATTAAAATCCTATTTAAAATCTACCACTTATTTAAAATTCTATTAAAATCTATTATTAATAAAAGAAAAAAACTATACTTTCCTATATTATCTAAAAACAATTAAAAACAACTTTAAAATCTATTATATTCTAAAAAATGATTAAAAAACTATTAAACCAATTAAAAATCTATAAAATTCTAAAAAAACTTATAAAGCTCTAGAAAAAAGACCTAAACTATTTAAAAAATGTAAAAATCCATTTAAATCCTAAAAATGATTAAAAGCCTATTTAAAATCCACAAAAGGCTATAAAACCCTAAAAAATGAAGACAAATGCAAATGACCACCATAAAAGAGCGTGCGACCAGATCAAATTAACCAGTAAACCCCTGGCATCATAATATTCCCCAATTATCGTGCAAGCTGAAAATCCCGAGAAGCGCACAGTTTCCCGAAAATACAACCCTAATGATCTGGGCTGGATCTGCCATATCTAGACGAAAACCAAGCTGTAACCCTGATATCTTCTGTCTGTACACACACATCATGCATCTGATGCGAACATGAATTTAAACCACGAGCCAGCTAGGAGAATCGGTTGGTCAAATTTTGGGATGCAACAGCAGTGAAGTGAACCATGTGAACGCATTTTTTGTGAGGGACCCTGGGAAATATTTCATTTTAAATCATCGTTATTCGTTATGTCCCCGACCTCTGTCTGATAGCGGGCCACAAGTTCGACAGTGGATTCCTCTGTCTCGCCCGCAAACTTAGTGAATTTAAGGACTTTCCAACCCCTTGATAACACAGTTTGCAACACAAAATCCAGCAATGGGGACGTGTAGGCGGGTCGTCGAAGGCTGGGGTTCACACCATTTCGAACCATGATGCGTTTGACTATGGCCTCCAAATTAGCTTTGCCTCCAAGGTTCTCATTTCTAACCTGTCGGACAATGTTGTCAGGGTCTTGGTCCCTGCGTACCACCACTATGGGGGGTCTCTGGGCCATCTGAGGGATCCGGTCAACCTCAAGGACTTGGACCTCTTCATCGACAAGCTCGTTTTGTCGACCCTACGTATCAGGACGATTTGGAGGAGTTTGTCCTCCCACGTTCCTAGGTGCTTCTAGAAAATCTCCTATTTGTGCCATCTGGGTGGGTAACTATTGGTAACTATGCGTCGAGTCCTGTATCAAAGGCCTCATAATGGTACCAATCTGTTGTGTTAACATATGTACCATATCATGGTTACTTTCGTCCATCTGCTGGCGCATGGCCGCGACAGAACTAGTAGTAAATGTTGGTATTGCGTGGGGAAGTGTTCCAAATCCTGGTGGCCCTCCTCCCTGCAGGGTCACAGGGCCTAGGCTTCGGTATGGCGAAAATGCGGAGGTTGAATTCTGTCCCCCGCCTATTCCCTCGTAACACCAGTTCGACATGAATTTTGGCGGCATCCCCAAGTGTTGAGGCATCGAAGTGTTAAAATTTGGGGACCGTTGACAGTCGATCCCGATCGTAACGAGTCGTGCGTCCGTTCCACGGGGAGTCGCAAGTTGTGCGGTGCCAACGGTCGAAGTGACGGTTGGCATGGGCCCTGTGCCCAGCACCGCCCCTGGAGAAGAAGATGTGTTTCCCTGCGAAGACATTTCTTTGCTTGGTCGCGACGTCACCATCTTTCCGCTATGTAACTGCATACACCTAAAAACAGGGGTCCCACCAGGTGTGCCAATTTGTTCGCACGTGATTTTCGCGTGAACAACCTCTGGCCTTCCTACACGGATTTGCTTGCGGGATTGGCCAAACTAGTCCCAGGACGTTTTTTAGTTTCAGGCGCGTTATTTGTTCGGATAATGGTGCACTTTGAATTTCAAATACTAGGCAATGTAAAAGACAAGATTTTGGTATATATTCTAATAATGAGGCTTAAATGCCTAAACTACTGGGTACACTTAAAATAAAATTAAAGCAGAATGGAAAAAGAACTTAAAGTAAAATGGAAATGTACAGGAAAAAAGGTGTTTGGACGTATTCGTACATTTTGGAGTGACAAAGTGAACTCTTTTCTCTATAGCGTGGTACTCAGAGTGTTTTTCTTCCAATACTGACAAAGGACGCCCCTATCTCCTCCAAATTCTTGCTTTATATAGGCATATAAAGTAACTGCCAAGGGGCTTCAGGATGCGCCACGTGGCACCCCACGTCCTTGAGAAATACCTCCACGTTCTTATTTCAAACGGGCTTTCCGCCAGTCTTCTAAGTTCTCCTGTCGAGAATGCTTTTAGCTGGCTTCTTCTTTGTGTCGATCGACACAGCTCTCGTCGATATGCTCACCTCATGCTGTCGAATCTGGGGTGACGCCGGCCGTATTTAGTATTGTCAGCCTTCGTTCTTTATGCAGGTGGTTAGTCGACTTCTTACCTCTTGTCGAGGTTAGTTGGCTAAGTTTTTAGCCAACAGTAACATACATGTAGAACAAATACATGTATGTCATATATGGAAAAATAAAATATAAATTAAAAAAAGTATTTATTCACAGTTATTTATAGCAACTGTAGTTATAGACAGAGTGCAAAATATTATTAACCATACATTCACTAGGTTTCTAACTCAAGACCATTCGTTTTATATCACAACGGTTGTATATTTTGACAGTTGTGATATATAGCGCGCTACCTAGTTTATCACAATGGTCCAACTCCCGTGGTGGAAAACATCATGCATACAATCACACCCTACATCACAAGGGTTGGTTGTATGTGGTTGTATTTCTTTTCTAAATGTTATAATAGGTGTTTTCCATAGTAGTGTCCCTTGCAAAAGAATAAAAAAGAATGAAGTAAAAGAAGAAGAGGACATAAGAAGGAAATCGGAAATTGATGATGATGCAAATCGAAGCTCGACAACACAATATCATAGTGTTGTCGGCCGACCAACATCCCCTTCGGAGTCACCGCACACGGTTGATCCGTTGGCACTTGTTGTCTGTGGTCTCCACTTGATTGCAGAAGTTACATTTGTCGTCTGCTAGCAAACCAAACCGCTTCAATGGCTCCTTAGTAGCCAATCTATTATGAAAAGACAACCAAAAGACAAACAGAGTCCTAGGACGCGCCATAGTTTTAGGAATCAAGTACCTCCAATCAACCTTAGGGAGTTCCTCTTTGATATGCCCATAAACTCTTCTATTAAAAACAATTTTTCAAAGTAAAAATTGATTATTTTCCGATACCCGAAAGCGGACTGTACCTTCAACTTAATCATTTTTCTACAAGAAAATAGTTTCTCATTATAATTTAAAATACAACTTTTTGAGTATCAACGGTCGACGAGAATGTCATTTCAGTCATAATTTAAAATACAACTTTTTGAATATCAACCGTCGACAAGAATCTCATTTCAATCTCTCGTTATTATAATTAAACCGACAAAACTATATACTTGCAGCTCTGTCAGAATTGAACTCTAAACCATCAATTTAGATTCATTTAACTCAATTAGCAGATAGCAATTGAACAATAATAAATATGTGTTCAGTAATGTTTAGAAAAATTGTTGCCTATGAATGTTACTATAAAATGACTAAACATATGTAATACTGATTATATAACTTTTGATTGTGAATGATACAGAAGTATACAAGTATATAAACATATACCATTAATCATAAAGCCAAACTGTCACACAAATCAAACTTAATACTATTTTAATAAAAAAAATTCTCACGTTTAACACTCCAGGTATTTCATGGTTCAGTTCGAACCCAAAATTCTTATTCTCAATCAACAATCAACATATGTAGATAATTTATAGAAAATATAAAAAATTTGGCACACTTATATATTAAACAATATATCAATCTTTATCCTTTTTGTTCATCCATCATTGTAATATTCAGGAGTAGTTAACTTTTCTGCAATTGCACCTTATCTCACCATTTTTCCCAGTAAGAGGCTTCAAGTTACCCATCTTGATCATAGAAACTCCAAAATCTTCAGCAAAAGCATAAGAATTTTTGCTATATAGCTGCACCAACCTATCACTTTGAGAACCATCACCTTTGAAAAGCTCTTGATCAGAATGAAGGAGACCCTTTTTGTACAACAAAGCCTTGTAGTATTCTGTGTCAACTTTTTTTGGAGTAGAATCAAAAGGTGCTAAGTTGTTGTCGCCGCCGATTCGAGGACATGTTTTCTGTAAATTGGCTGCAAAAGTGGTGTCTATGTTGGTGTCATTGAAGATCCTGTCTCTAAAAGTAGCGCATTTGGCAAATCCAATAGTGTGGCCACCAGATAGAACGACTAAGTCCTTAAGGTTTAGTCCATGAGAATTGAAATTTGTGATGAGTTGTGAGAAGTTGAAAAATGGAGGTGGAAGATTTGCATTTGCTGCATCCCAGCTTGCAGTTCTTGCATCTCTTCTTCCTAATAACACTTGGTACCAATATTGGTTACCACCCAACTGTTAATTGATGCAAAACATGTTAGCTGTGGAAATATATACTACACGAAAAAGTTGAATGAAAAACCAAAAATTATTGAAAAGACTTACTATAGCTACAGAATCTCGAGCAGCTATAGCTAAAATATCTGCGCATGAGACGACATCGCGTCTGCAAGCTTTGGTAACTGCAGCTTTAATTTGATCAACAACTTCAAAACCTCGAATTGAATTGATATTTGGAAGTGCAGTCTTCTCACCACGGAAGGTAGGTGTGTCATCAAGTAGAACTGATGCATCACATCCCTGTAGTGTCACAGTTCATATTAATTAAACCATAACAAAAGTTATAATATGCAAATGTAACATGAATTGATATGAAATTAACTTACATTGACGAAGCAATCGTGGAAATGCAAACGCAGCAATGATGCTCCAATTCGTGGCTCGCGATAAATTGCTTGCTTAACGACTGATTTTATGATTGGCAGTGCCTTAGGGCAAATTCTGTCATAATAATTAGGAGTCAGCTTTGCAACGGTAGGACTTAAAACTGCTGCGAAAGTGACCATAAAAAGCACAAGATAAAATTGGATAGGAGAATCCATTTTACTATATACTTGTATGAGACTTATATTTGAAGCAAGTAGTTTTTGTGAGTATCTATGTCTAGAGGAAGGATTTATATAGAATGAAAACTTAGCAACTTGTTATTTTTTGATGAATGAAAATATAGCAACTAGGGTATAGTTTATTAACTTGTTAGAGTTGTCAACTTATTTAATATTTCAAGTCATAATGTGCAAGCAACTTATATGTGCTCGCCTGCTAGGTACAGTTGACCCAAAATATTATATAAGAATTGCTCAAACATTGCAACCTTTCTTCTAGCCACCTCTTCCATTTGATATAGAGATGATATACATGTTGATTTTTTTCTTTTATTTTTGTACTTGAGTTAATCCTATAATAGAGGTTTGAATTTTGTTCTATTCTTAAAAATTGCATCTTTGACAAGAAATTTTGTTGCTCTTGCATTTTTTTTATGAGGTGGGTCTTTCCTTTACTTAATAAATAGAGATTCAAGGGTTTGTAACTACAAAAAAATTGTTATTCTACCAAGGGTTTATGCAAGTGGCGAAACCTCTTAGGTAAAAAAAATTTCATCAACAAGAAAAAATCTCTCGAAATGAAAAACTTAAACGTAAAAAGATAAAAAAATATAAAAAATAAAAAAAGTGTTAGGTTTTGTCCTTCGAAAAACCTTGAGGAAGGAATTGTAAATTTAAATTTTACATAATACGAGGAGCAACTCCTTGAAATTTACTAAATTTGAAATTTAAATTTTTACATGTTACCAGTAAGACAGAAAACAAGAAAAAAAATATAAGATTCTTTATGTTAGTAAATCTAAAGGGTTGCTCCTCGTAACTTTTGAGAAAAAGTTTATAAGAGCATAAATATCAATGTCATGTCATCGTTCCTTCACAAAAACCAAAGTTTTTTTATGAGAAATTGATGGATATTTAAAAATTTTAACTGTCATTTAGTTTGTCAACGTTGTTCTGCAAGAGAACGTTTCTTAATTAAATGTAAGGTATTTGGTGGGACCCATTTTAGAGTTTTTGATAGATTGTATGGATATTTAAAAAATATACTTGAGTTGTTTAAAAAATATTAAAGTGGAATATAATATAAAAAATTACGTGGACCCCATTTAAAGAATCAAAGTGGGGATAATGAGTGTGGATGCTCTAAGAAGGTTTGTCCTTTACATTAAATAGTCTATTTGACTTAGGGATGTAATGAGCGTGATACTATAATATTCGTTCTTAAATCTGCTGTTTAAAAAAAAAATTATATCCGAGTTCATATTTCATGTGGGCATCAATGTTTGCATCGATTTCAATATTTAAAATTCAATTTGATTTTTTAACTAGTTTTAAAAAAATCATCTGTAACCAATTTTTTAGTGTTTCATTTCATTTTAACATCAACTTTAAAATAAAATTGGTTTTAAATTACAATTTCCAATCAATCAAGTGTGGCCTTAATAGTTATATTTTGAAAAAATTATTAATAGATAGTTAATTGGTTTTGTTGTCACAGTTAATAAACAAATTTAATAAAAAAAGCACTTTAAAATTTAATTTGGGCAATGCTACAATTGTATTTGTTTTGTAGGTGGTTTAGGGCCAATTATTTATTTGTGATAAATAAAAAAGTAAAAGAGATTTTAAATAAAAAATCAATTGAAATAAGATTTAATAAAAAAGTAATTTTGATTAATTGTACAAACTTGTTCCAGCTTTCAGTAATGGTTTAATAAAAAATCATTTAATGATTTTTTTTAAACTTGTAACAAGTGAGTCTCTATAACTTCTATAAAAGTTTAATTTATTTTGCTGTCAAACTTTCAAGCAGAACAAGTTTAATCAAATAATTTTTACAATTGACTTTCACTTTAACAATTTATTAATTGAGTGTACTATAAATTTTGAACAAACTGGTTAATTGTTTAAAAACCAGTTATAAAACCGATTATGTTTTTGTTAAACCGGTTTTGAAAAATGGTTTTTAAATCCAATCTAATATTGGTTATTATGTGAATATGGTTTGGATAGTGAAAAGTCCAAATTCTGAACGCCCCACCGAAGAGTTACTACTTGAAATTTATTAAATTTGAAATTTAAATTTTTTACATATTATCCGTAAGACATAGAAAGCAGGAAAAAAATATAAGATTCTTTATATATATATATTAGTGAATTTAAAGGGTTGCTCCTCATAACTTTGGAGAAATGGTTTATACGAAAGGTTACCTTTCACATAACATAGTCTATTTGACTTGATATATACCTGCTTCATCTGCCACTCTGTTGTCATCTTTGCATTTAATTACTTTTTAATATATATGGAGAGATAAATACATAGGGATACTTCGATCACCAAGTTATCTTCATTCTCTAATATCATGTCTAAACTATTTTCTTAGTTGTAGATGAACCGCCCGTGAACAAGGTTCAGGTAAGGGTTTTCTGTGATATTCCCAAGGTCATGCTATGAAATTTGAGAATAATTGTTCCTTAATATCTTTTTTGGGTTTAAAAGAGATGGAAAATACACAAGAATGAGGGGTCGAATTGTGTGTTTAAAAATGGTTCCACTTTTAAATTTAGAGGTTCAGAGTCTGAACTATGTTATGAGTCTGTTGATATTATATATATATATATATATATATATATATATATATATATATATATATATATATATATATATATATATATATATATATATATATATATATAAAATAGCGGAAAATAAAGTTCAGAAGTAAATGCAATCATCATATAAAAGTTATATTAGTTCTTCTCCTCAATTGAGAGTAGTTCAGTCCCCTTACCTCAACAAGAACTTTTCATCATAACCAAACTTATTACAAATGCTTAAGTTACTCCTCCGGACTTCCTGCTCAATCAACTCTGAATGAGACTTCCTTGCTTAAGCGGCTGCTCAAAACTTTCTGCTTAAATCTTCTAGTTCAAGACTTCCTTGCTCAATCAACTTTGAGTGAGACTTACTTCTTAAACTCTCAGTTTAAAACTTCCTTGTTCAAGCACGCAGGCAAGAGACTTCTAATGAACAAACAGTTTAGTAGACAAGATAACTACTATACTTTGATACACAATCAAAAGTATAACAGTTGTGCAACAATCACAAAGGTTTACAACCTTTCTAAGATTTCTAAGTTAAATCTAAGATAAGAAATCTTAAGATTTTATGCTATAACAGTTACAAAAACAGCTCCGAGTTGTTCTAAGATTTTTCTATATGTTGTGACTTTGTAACCTTTATTTGAGTTTTCAGCTTCCTTTTATAAAGATAGAACAAAATTCATTGGAGGTTTGAGCAACAACAAACTTAGTGAATAAGTATGTCATGGGAGACGTTGGAGACTTGCATCTGGTTATAAGCTTTGTCCATTAAATAATAGCATTGTCCACAACACCTTTTGAGTAATTAGGTATCTATCAAAAGGTAGTACAAACTGAAGAGGTCACATCACCATCCTTGAGCCTTGCAAAATCAAACCGTAGTTGACTATGTCCAGAAATCTGGAACTATGTTAAGACAAGTGTACTTTAGTGTAACGTACGGATCAACTGCGCTCCACGTCTTCAAAAATTGAGCTGTCATTAGAAGTTGGGTCATGAGACCAGAGTCTGATGTCTTTAGAGTCTGATGAACATATTCAAATTCTGATCAGCCAGAATCTAAGTATAGCTTCCTCACTTATGCTTTCAATAGGATTAATGATGAATTATTTAGTTTATGATCCTGCACACGTGAACATATGTTAGCAAACCTTGTTGTTCTTTCAATACTTTTCTATCATCAAAACCTTTTAAAGGCATAAACAAATCTTGTCCCAACAAAATTAATACATCTCGATGGACCACCTAGTTAATGTACCCCTAGCTAAATCTAGTCGGTGGAATACTTGCTTCAGTGGCAGATCAGTGTGGATAATAATGGTGTGTGCTAAAAGGTATTGTTGCAACTTCCTAAATGTGGTAACTAGAGTTAATGATATATATTTTATATTTTTGTAACGTGTCAGATCTTACTAAGGCTTTAGAGGTAAATTACATAAGCATATGTGCATAATTAACCTCTTTTTTTAGGATGACACTAACTGCTTTAGTGGAGACAACTAGGTAATGGAATAAAACTTCCCTCGTAACCATCCAAGATAAGATTCGTGAGGTTGATAAGGTTGTCTTTAAGGATGTGAATGATTTCTCACAATATGGGGTCCACTCGAAGCTTGCTTCCTTCATGAGCAACTTTTACAATGGAAATGTTTGTTGAGATGACAGGGAAATGAATATTTTGAAGGTCATCAACATCCTATTCAGCTTTATTACTTCCTTTTTGATCGTTGGCACTGCCATGTTGATGATTGCTTCACATTTGTCCTAACTCGTTTATATTCCTCTTTTCGTCAAGTGAAATACCAAAAATTTGTCGAATCTGACCCTAAAGGTACTTTTTATACATTGAGTTCCATGTTGTACTATCGAAATCTCATGAATACACTAGTTATTTTCTTATCATGTAGCTCTTCCTCGTTGGAATTTACAAACATCTAATCCAGATAAACTTCTAGTGTTTCATTTATCTCTTCCTTGAAGACTTTTTTCATCATCCTCTGCTAATTTCCCCCTACATTCTTCAGAACAATATGCATCATGTTGTATTGAAAATTGGCTCGCACAGTTATGAAGGTTGTTTTTATCTTTATCTAGCTCATATGTGGGTATTTTGTTTTAACTAGAATATGTGTCCATAAATGACAAGAGTTTCTAACCGACTGGACTATATTCCATGTTGTCTAGTTTATAGTGGATACGAATCTTTAGGGCTTCCCCGATCGAGGTTAGTGTAAGCAACACACAATCTCAACTTTCCTAAGATTTTTTTAATTAGTGCAACATTAGAGATTCATTATGTGTATCTTACTTCAGAGATCAAGTTGACATCGAGCAAGCCCTAGACTTTCTTCATTGTTTTTTCTATCTTCTCGAGAGATTGTTGCCTTCTTCTT